CCTCCTATCAAGAGAGGCCCTCAGGAAAAGTCTAGGCCTTGACCGAGTCATTCACTCAGCATGGTGAAGGCTTTGATTGAATGAAGTTTTCTACAGCTGAGGTTTGGGGGATCCAGGGCTATCCTTGCATCCATCACCATCCTACTCTACAGCTGCTCTTCCAAACCTCTGTTTGCCCCACCAGCTTGCACCCCATCCCCACCCCCTCACTCGCAGAGATGAGATCATCTGTGCCCTGCTATTGCAAAGTGAAGTCAGACTGGGGTCACTCTCTCTTCTAAGAGAAGCAGTTAAACAGCCTCCAAAACCACCCCACCCCACCCCACCCCATATGGGTGGAAAATCAGCCCCCCTGCCTAAATCTCTGAAGGGGTTTGAGGGGCTAGAACTTTCACCTCTTTGCCCCCAGGTCTTATTTATTACTGCCAAGCCCCCAATCCTTCACAAAGTGACTTTTGAGTTGCTACCTTTCTGCCCTACATTGATCTCGACTTCTCCGCAGCCAGACAGACCACTGTGTTGAACAGACATCTGTGACTTTGGGGGTGAGGAAGGGCTGTGGGGGTTACCTCACAGCCCGGCGAGGAAGGACATTTTAAAGTGACTTTGACACAACCCTGTACATCAAAGCCTTTGATCTCACCTGGCCCCACCACTGAGGACTTCCCACAGTGGCCTCCCCCTCAGGTCCCAGCCTCCTCCACTGTGTTCTCCCCTCCCTGGAGCCCCAGGTCCCTCACCTCTCCTAACCCCAAGGTCCTGCCACTTCTTTTTCTCCCCAGCCAATACTTTATTATCCCCAGGCAGAAAGGATTTGCCAGTTTCTCCAGGAAGCCTTCCCTGGCTGGACTGGGCACCCCCTCTCTCCTCTATCACCCACCCCCACACCACACCCTGTTACTCCATCAGACAGCACGCCTGTGACTCGGTCTGCTCCTCACCTGGAGGGGGCGCATCTTGAGGCAGGGCCCGTGTTCCTTCATTCAGTAAATACCTCCGGAGCATCTGCTTCCCACCACACACTCTTCTAGGCACTGGGTCCCCACAGTGGGCAAAGCAAATACCCACCCTTGAGGACCCTCGGTTCCAGCGAGGGACAACAAACACCTAGTACTAAACATGTGTCAGTGTAATAAGTGCGGTGAAGGAAAAGCGAGCAGAATGAGGGGCTAGAGAGAGAGAGGAAAGAGCTGCCACTGTGAAGGTGTGACTGGGGCAGAGTCTCTGAGGGCGTCAAGGTCTGAGTGAAGTGAGCTGGCTGAGAGGGTACCTGGGAGAAGAGCCTTCGGGACAAGCAAGAAAAGATACAAGGATCCCAAGGAGGGGTGTGCCCCAAGGCCCAGAAAGGCCAGCAGAGCGGATAAAGCAAAGGAGGGGTGGGGACAGTGCTGGGAAAGGGGTGGAAGAGGAAGTCAGGGCCACGTCAGAGAAGACTTTACAGGCGTCTCCGTAGCTCGTGCTTTTAATAGGATAGTGACTGTTCAATGCGCAATAAACATTTTTATGAGCAAGTGAATGAATGATTGCTTAGAAACATGCTGAGATTTACTGTGTCCTAAAAATGACCTTTCTCAACTGCATATCTCCCTGCCTCACTTCCAGGGTCCTTCCCCAGGAAAACTGAAGGTTCCTACCTGTCTCACAGGCTGCACGTCACAAAGACTAAATTTATCTTCTGAGAAGTGTCCACAATAGGGTAGACTCTTGGCTCATCATGATGATTTGTCCTTGATGGGCTTCTTTTATGTTAATGAGCAGATTCCCACCCTCCCTCAGCCCTGGAATAGTCTCCCAAGATGACAGACTGTCTCTTTCTCAGGGTCCTGACAGGAAGTCTGACGTGCAGCTCACATTGGTGACCAGGGGACATATCCTGCAACCTAAACACCCCCACTTCCTGGTTCTGGTAAATCGCTTGACTTCTGTGAACAAGAACCCCTCATTGCCTGGTCCATCTCATGACCTGATATGACCCAACTTGAGCCTCAGAAATTAGTCTCTATAGCACTGAGGGATTGAGTGTAGCTACAGGTAACTCTAAACCCAAATAATAGTGTCCTAAACAGGATGTGGGTATGTAGGTTTTTTTTCTTTTATATCATGAAAAGTGCAGAAGTCAGTAATCAGTGGCTGGTATAGCACACCTTGGCTATCATCAGGGACCCCAGGATGGGATTCTCATTAAAGTGCTTGCAACATGACTGCTGGTGCTCCAGCAATCACCTCTGCGTTCCCAATGGGAAGGAAAAAAGAGATAAAGGTCAAATGGACCTTCCAAAGCCTGGAAAAGCTATCCAAGAGCTATGTCACATGAGCACTCCTATGTGCAAGGGAGGCAGGGAAACGGTTTTAGCTGTGCACACTGCTGCCCTTTGGGAAATCGAGGTTCTATGGTAAGACTAGGGAAGAATAAATACTGAACAGACCACAAACAGTATCTGTCAGCATGCACCCTCTTGAGCTACCCACCATCCCTAAATACCCTTCTTTGCTTTCATACTCACATGTACTTCACATTTCCACTAAGGGACACGAAGGACTCTGGGCGATGCTCTTCTATCAGGTCTAAGATGTGGTCCCTTGTGGCCCAAGGCTCTAAAAGTCAAAGGGTCTGCCCCAGTGTGCCCCATATACAATGGCAGGAAAGGACAATAACTGTCATAAAAACTCCCATCAAGAAAAGAAGCCAGTCACAGAAGGGCAAATGCTGTATGATTCCACATACACTAATACCCAGAGTGGCCAGGTTCATGGAGGCAGCAGAAGGGTGGTTGACAGGAGCGGGGGAAACAGGAGCGCGGGGGGCGTTTCATGAGGACGGTTTTAGGTGGGAAGCTGAGGAAACTCTGACCACGCACGGTAGTGAGAGCGGCACGGCAACATTAATGTACCTAGTGCTGCTGGCTCAACTAGTTTAAAAAGTAAATATTATGTATATTTCACCTCAATAGAAAAAACAAATTTTAAAAATGGGAAAAAAAAGAGTACATGGAATGAGTGTTGAAGACACGATGCTAAGCACAGTAAGGTAGTCACAGAGAGCAAACGCTGCAGGATTGCACTCCTATGAGAGATCTAAAATAGTCAGGCTCATGCAGTCAGGCAGTCGGATGGTGGTTGCCAGAGTCTGGGGGGAGAAGAAGATGGGGAGCTGCTCATCAAGAGGCACAAAGTTCCAGTTATGCAACATGGATAGTTCCAGAGGACTGTGCACAACAGGGTGCCAACACTGTAGAGTGCACTTGAAAATGTGTTGAGCATAGCTCTCATGTTGTGTTTTTGCTGTATTAGAATTTTAAAAAGGAATATGTGGTCCTGGCGGGTGTGCTCAGTGGGTTGGGCGTCATCCCATACACCAAAAGGTTGCCAATTCGATTCCCGGTCAGGGCACATGCCAGGGTTTTGGGTTTGATTCCGAGTAGGGGGCTTGTAGGAGGCAGCTGATCCAGGTTTCACTCTCACATCAATATTTTTCTCTCTCCCTCCTTTTCCCTCTCTCCCTAAAATATATATATATATTTATCTTTTATATTTATATTTTATATTATATTTATATTATATTTATATTTATATTATATTTATATTTATATTTTATATAAATATATATATATATATTTATTTTTTTTTAAAGAAAGGAATATGTGGTCCAGAAAGAGAAAAGGGGACAGACAGACCCGGAAGGGTTCCAACAGGTAGAGGATGAACAGAGGAAGGGATGTCATCTCGGAAGGCAGGGAAGTAGTGGGTGGACAGACAGACATGAGCATTCAGGAGAGAGCAGCTTATTAGAAGCCAAGAAGTAAACCTGTGTTCAATAGAGGCAGCCACCAAGGATGACCAGGACCGAAAGGGACCCATGACATAGCAACTATGTGTTGCAAAGAGGCACACTTCATATGTTCATTCCCTCCCTGGATAAGCAAGAGTGTGAAAGTTACTGAAGAAAGAATGGGTGTGTTTGCATGCGGAGCCTGGTAGCCTCATGGCAGGAAAGGGCCACCCCCTCCCCATCCTGCTATTCCTAGTAACCCGCAGGTGGAAGAAAGTGGCCCTGACCAAGCCCTCCTCGTGGTGGGAAGCACAGCGAGGGCCCTGAAGTAGTATGGCCATGAGGGTAAGGAAGGTGAGCCATGGGACAAGCCTTGATGGAGTCATGTGGCCAACAGGGGTGTTGGCCCTGAGTAGTTGAGGTGGCAGGCGCTGGAAACTTAGAAGCTCTCACTCCTCCCCCTACTGGAGCAAGAGCTGTAACCTGGTTGCTCTCACTCCTGGACAGAAACCCCCTGGCCAGCCTTAAACCCAAAGAGCCAAGGATGCCGGGCAGCTACCGGTGGAGGCAGCCCAGGGGCCAGACATCTCAGCCACCAACCCCAGCCAATGTCCCTGTCCTTCTTCACTGTGGCTCCTGGGCACAGAGTCAGGGCTTATGGTCAGGGAGGCAGGGGGGAGCAGGACCTTCCCCTCAGGTGGCCAGTGGACACCCAGGCTTCCAGGACAAAGAAGGACAGAACTAGACAGGATAGAGAGACTAGAGCCCTGCGAATCTCAGCATGTGGGTGCTCGGGCACCGCACTCGGGGACAGCCCTGCGCAGCTGTTTCCTGCACCCCAAAGCGCAGTCAGGATGCTGGCAACAGGGAGTCACTGGCGGTGCCACCGGCTAGGGGAGAAATGGGGAGGATGCCAGATCCTGGTGAAGAGAGCAAATGCAGGCGCTTCTTTCACAGAGATGAGTCCTTGACTGTTGGAGGAAGAGTAGAAAAGGGGCTTGGGCAGAGAATATGTAGGATGGGGGGCACTTGTGTCTGCAGGAGAGCCTGAGAAGGCTCACCTCCTGAAGGCAAACAGGCAGCTGGGGAGGAGAGGCTGGGAGCAAAAGAGCCTGAAAAAAAGCCACCTCGAAGTAGGTCTTCATGACCTCACAAAGCACCCCCCTCACCCCCAGGTTCTAGGAACCGAGTCATTCCTGTCTGGGTCTCCTAGCAACTGGATTCAGGGGCCATGGCACTCTTAACACCCCAGGAAATAAAGAAAGTCTTCCAATTTGAGGTGAAGAGAAAATGTGTCTTTTAAAGGAAAGTTTGACTGGTCTAGCTGCGAGGTGTGTGTGAGAAGTGACCCCTCAGTGGATGCCTTGGACCTCACCCCTTTCCGGGCACCACCTCTGAGGCCCGCAGTGGCTGTGTCAGCTCTGGAATGCCCAGCCAAAGGCTCCCCAGCCCTTGGAGCTGGGGGCTGTCTTCAGAGCCTAGAGTGACAGCCCCTGATGCCCAGAGCCTGCTGGAAGGAAGGAGGGGATGGGTGTGTAGGCTCTGTGCCTGCCTCCATGCCAGAAGGGCCAGAGAGGCCCAGGGGGCTGGTCACAGGGGGTGCTACCTCTCACCAGGGCACCTCAGGGCCCTGTGAATCCCCTGGGATTGTGTGCCAAAGTGCAGAAGGAGTGTGTGTTGTGGTGTGTATGTGTGGGGGGGGATCTGTTTCTTTAGGGCAGGGAAGGGGCAGTTTTCCTCGGTTTCTCAGATTCATTTGGAGGCCAAAAGGCCAGGACCTGTCTACAAGCTCCTTCCAGAGCAGGGCTGTTCTCAGAGGGGTGTCTGGGCACTGCTGAGACCTCAGGCCGGAGGGTCCCAGCCAACTGTGTGCTCAGGTCAGCTTCTGACCTCAGCTATGAGCTGGTGGGCAAATGACCCTGATGGGGCCTCTGTTCCTGCCCTGGGACTTGGCTTTCACCACCTGCTCCACTTCTTCCAACCAGTTGTCCCATCAAACACCAACCTGGGGATCTATCTGAGAGGTTGCGGGGAAGGACTGCCTGGCTCAGGCAGGAGAGCAGAGGTGGTGAACAGGATGTCCCTGGGGGCTGCAGAAGGGTTCTGGGCTTCCCTCTGGCACCAAGTTAGCCATCAGTCCTGCCCCCTCCATCCACAGTGCCCCCGCCAGAGCTTCCTCCCACCCCAGAGGAGCAGCGCTCCCATGTTCGTGGGTCTCCACTCTATGCCACACATTTTCTTATCTGCTCCCTTCAAGGCACTGGTTTCTCCTACATCTGTTGGTGACCTGTAAGAACCTTTCTGCATGGGTCAGGTGAATTTCCAAGTAAAATGGGTTCTTACCTATAAACAGGGAAAAAAGGTACCCTAATTCATCTTTACCCCCAGCCTGCCAGAGTTCCTGAATTTTCATCAAGCAAGATACATTCCTTTTTGCCTCACCAAGCCTCCTCTCAGTCATTTACACTTTAGTATGAATTTTATTATCAGATCAATACCTCTGGGGCAGCTAGTTGAGCATAGACTAAGAGAACAAATTTTGGTTTAGGGAAGAGGAAGGAAGGACCATAACTCAGGACTTGAAGCCTGCTGGAGGGTCCCCAAGCTCAGGGCTGCCACAGCAGCATGAGAATGCTCAGAGGAATGAGCAGTGCTGGAGAGAAGAGTCCATCCCCCGAAAGACGGGGAAAGCTGTTCAGAAATGAAAGCCTCGTCTGGCTGGGGGTAACCACGTTCTTGGTCACTCTTAAGTATAGTGAGGAGCCATGTGGGGGCCCCCAGGAGTGTTTGCTCAGTGACCCTGATTCCTCCGTGTCACCCCCTACCCCTCATGTCATGTCTCGCAGAAACCAGAAGGTCGGGAGCACCTACGGAGACTGCTGAACTGGAAAAAGTTTGACGAAGTGAGAGACTCCCGCAGAAGCATCCTGCTGGATATCCTCTACGAAAGCGTCATCTTTGCCGTGGGCAAAGGCTTCCCATGGGTGGAGGTGGTCAAGGTGGTGAAGTTCACAGAAGAACTGCTCAAGGAAACCAAAGGTATGGGGCATCCAGGGCTGGAGTCAGAGAGGCTTGCAGGAGGAGGGGGAATGCGCAGGATCCCCCTGCAGTCCAGCACCCCCGGAGCCCTCTACAAAGCCGGGAGCCCCTTCCTTTTTACCCTGGCATTTACCCTCCTCCCATGCATGTCAACAGGGTCCCTGTCCAGGCTTTCTTGAAAGCGGAGCAAACAGAATGTGCTCACTGAGACGTCGCTGGTCTCCTTGGCTGTGAGCACCACTCACACAGCAGCCAGAGTGTTTGCTTCCCTCTAAGACGTTGACACTTTAGTATGAATTTCATCATCAGAGCAATCTCTCTGGGGTAGCTTGTTGAGAGTTGGCCCAGAGGAAAGTCAAATTTTGTTTTAGGGAAGAGAGGGGAAGGAATATAATTCAGAATTTTTGTTTAGTTTAGTTTTATTTTTGCTTAACATCAATCAAACATGTCATCCCTCTGCTTAAAACCCTTCCTTGACTTCCCATTGCTCTGCCCATTGTTCCCAGGATCAGGTTTTACTCTGCTGAATGTCTTGAGGGAATCTTTTACAGGTAAGAGTTTGCCGGCAGGGAGGAGGGAATAGCAGTGATGTGAGTTTACAGATGGAGCGTCTATGGATGGGTCACAGAGGGAACCCTGCTCTGTGTTGAGCTTCGTAAGAAAAGGATGAGCCTCTCTCCCTGACTCCTTGGCACGGGGATGTGGTCACATCTGTCAACCTTTTGGGCTGTGAGATGCAGATTCATTCATTAAACAAATATATATGGAGCAGACCTTCTATGGCCACCATCATAGTAATATTCAGCCAAGAATCATGAATAGATACTAAAACCAAAGGTAAGAATATGTTTAGTTTTGTAAGAAATCGCCAAACTGTCTTCCAAAGCGGAAATGCTTAATAAAAAATGGGATAGTTTCATATTTTCTAAGAACCTCCCCACAACATCCTTACTGATCACAAGGGGAAAGGGAATGCTTGACAGTGACGGAGGCTGGCAGACACCCCCTTAATCAAATGATCCAAGAGGACGCCATCAGTAAGAGGACAACATTGTATTAGATTAAGGCGTACAACATAATGATTTGATATATGTACATATTGCAAAATGCATAGTTATAATTTTTTTCTTATAATGGGAACTTTTAAGGTCTACTCTCTTAGCAACTTTCAAATACACAATACCATATTGTTTACTATAGTCACCACGCTGTATGTTACATCCCCAGAAGTTACTTATCTTATAACTGGAAGTTTATTCCTTTTGACCAGCTACACCCATTTCCCTGACCTCCCCGACCCCCACTCCAACCTCTGGCAACCGCCAATCTGTTTTTTGCTTCCGTGAGTTGATTTTTAGATTACACCTGTAAGTGAAATCATACAGTACAGTATTTGTCTTTCTCTGTCTGACTTATTTCACCTACCATTATGCCTTCAAGGTTCATCATGTTTTCACAAATGGCAGGATTGCCTTCTTTTTTATGGGTAAATAATATTCCTCTGTGTGTGTGTGTGTGTGTGTGTGTGTGTGTGTGTGTGTGTGTAGTCACATTTCCATTCATTTATTGATGGACACATAGGTGGTCTCCATGTCTTGGCTCTTATTAATAATGATGCAGTGAGCATGAGGGTGCAGATACTTCTTCAAATCAGTGATTTCATTTCCTTCAGACATATACCCAGAGTAGACTTTCTGGATCACATGGTAGTTCTATTTTTAATTTTCTGAGGAGCCTCCATACTGTTTTCCACAGTGGATGAACCAAATTACACTCCCACCAACAAACATTCCCACCATAGAGGTCTCCTTTTTCTCCAAGACTTGTTATCTCTAGGCTTTCTGATGACAGCCTGTCTAACAGGTGTGAGGTGATATCTCATAGTGGTTTTGATGATTAGTGATACTGAGCCCCTTTTTGTGTACCTGTTGTTCATTTGAATATCTTCTTTGGGAAAATGTCCATTCAGGCATTTTGTCCATTTTTTAATTGTATTATTTGAGTTTTTGCTAATGAGTTGTATTAGTTCCTTATGTATTTTGGATATTAACCTCTTATCAGATATGTGGTTTGCAAATATTTTTCCTATTTTGTACGTTATCTTTTCATTTTGTTGATCATATCTCTTGCTGTGCAGAAGCTTTTTAGTTTGATTAGTCTCGTTTATTGGTTTGTTATTTTATGACAAACCAATGGTTTGTGGTTTGTTTATTTATTTGTTATTTTGTGCTTTAGTGTCACATCCAAAAAATTATTGTTAAGACCAAAGTCAAGGAGCCTTTCCTCTCTTTTCCTCTAGGAGTTGTATGGCTTCAGGTTATACTATTTTTTTTAGTAGATTCTATTTTTTAGAGCAGTTTTAGGTACATAGCAAAATAGAGCAGAAGGTATAGAGATTTCCCACAGAAACCTTGCCTTGCCTCCACACACACAGCCTCCCATTGTCAATATCCCCCTCCAAAATGGTACATTTGTTCCAGTCCATGAACCTACATTGACATATCACAATCGCCCAAAGTCCATAGTTTGCATTAGGATTCACTCTTGGTCTTGTACATTCTATGGGTTTTGACAAATGTGTAATGACATGTACCCACCATTAAAGTATCATACAGAGTAGTTTCACTGCCCTAAAATTCCTCTGTGCTTCCCCTGTTCATCCCTCCCTTCCCAACCCCTGGCAACCACTGATCTTATCACTGTCTCCGTAGCTTTGCCTTTTTCAGAATGTCACATTGTTGATACCACACAATAGATGGTAGCCTTTTCATATTGGCTTCTTTCATTTAGAAATATGCGTTTCAGTTTACTTCATGGCTTTTCGTGGTTTGATAGTTCATTTCTTTTTAGAGATGAATATTATTCCATTGTTTGAATGAATCACATTTTTTCTCTATTCACCTACCAAGAACATCTTGGTGGCTTCCAAGTTTTGGCAATTGTGAATAATGTTCCAATGAATATCTGTGTGCAAGTTTTTGTGTGAACATAAGTTTTCAGCTCCTTTGGGCAAATACCAAGGAGTGTAATTGCTGGATCATATGGTAAGTGTATGTTTAGTTTTGTAAGAAATTGCCCAATTGTCTTCCAAAGGGGCTGCATCCCCACCAGCAATGAGTGAGAGTTCCTGTTGCTCCACATCCTCGCCAGCATTTGGTGTTGTCAGTGTTCCAGATTTGGCCCATTCTAACAGGTGTATAGTGATGTCTCATTGTTTTAATTTTCCTTTCCCTGATGAAACTGCAGTCTGAAAATGTTAAATAAAAAGTTCCAGAAATAAACAATTCCTAAGTTTTAAACTGTGCTCCATTCTGAGTAGTGTAATGAAATCTCGTGCCGTCCCCTCTGTCCCTCTTGACATGAATCATCCCTTTGTATAGTGTCTCCATGCTGTAGATGCTCCTCTATGTTGTTCACTTGGGGCCCATCTCGGTTATCAGATGGACTGTGGTAGTACTGCAGGGCTTGTGTTCAAATAACACTTACTGTACCCTGTGTGTGGCATCCCTGTGTACCCAGAGCTCACTCACCTGTCCTATCGGCAGCACCTCAACGTCCTTCCCTCATCTCGCCACTTTTTACCACCCCTCCTCTACCACCCTTTCTAACCCAGCTCTGTCTCCTGAAAATTTTGTACTTCTGCACCCATTCACCCAAAGGTACAGTGATTTTTTTCCAGACACCAATAAAACCCCATCACTCCTCTGCTTCAGGCTTTTCTGTGATCCCATCACATATCTTATGTGCACTTGGATAGGCCTCTTTGTATTTCTTGAGCCGCCCGTGTGCCCTTCTACTTCTCTGCTCCCACCCAGTGGTCCCAGTCTGAAGACTTGAGCAAGACACGGCATTGTGCACAGACTGGTTTCAGAGATGTTGGGAAATTTCATCCCACCCCTGCCACCCCGCAGCCCACGCACCCTGGGGCCTTCCTGGCATCCCTCTGGGTCCCGCCCCCTGCTGCTCACAGCAACGCCCGGGTACCAGAGTTCACCTCCGTCGGCTGAGCTCTGCAGTGGCCCGCGGCCAGAACAAACACTGCCTAGTGAGAAGAATGTCAGCCCCAAGCAGGTGGGAACTCGGGCTCTTTCAAGTTTCCCTCAGAGCCTTCCATGGGCCAAACCCTTGAAAAACAGTCGGTGATGATGCAAACCCAACTTCAAACTGAGGAGATTAGATCGTGCAGGAGCTGGCGGCGGGTCTGGTTACCGTGTGCCTTGCCAACACAGCCGATCTGTGTCTCGTAGGCTTCTAAAACCTTGGAGTTGAAAGATTCGGTGATCAGAAAACTTAACTCCCTCTCTGCAGGGAGCCCAGCCAGCCAACAAGGCCCTTCCAGCCTCTGCAGGCACCACCCGAGCAGCAGGGAGTGCCCTCCTTCTGAGGCAATCCGTCCTTCAGACACTGCTTTTGTTATTAGGAAGTTCTTTTCTATATTTGGCTACATCTTCCTTTTACACCTTTTACTCAAATGCTCCAAGTCTGTCCTCTAGAAGCAGAGTGCGGGCCCTGGAGAAATTTAATGAGCTGTATATAATGTGACTATCAGATGTTCACGTTCGGACTAGACATCCCTTGTGCCTTTTATCATTCTTAATACGGTATCATTTCCATAGACCCCTCCACCCCACATTCCCACCACTGCCCCCTTTCTTGCTGCCCTTCTCTGGGAGGCTTGAACCCCTGAAGAGGACGACTATGCCTTTTTTATTTTTGTCCCCTCTGTTCATTCCCTTAGTGCTAAATAATGCCTGTGGCACACAGTAGGTGTTGCATGAAGAAAAGAATGAATGAATGAATGAATGAATGAATGAATGAATGGATTCTTGATGCCCGTGGAGATGATATGTTCTGTATGCAGAGAGGAGGTTGAGTTGCTTGACTCATCCCAGGGTTACTCCACTGTGGGCTGTGTTTCCAGATGACGTTAGAAGCAGCAGAGCAGAGTGATTAGACACCAAACTCTACAGTCAGGAGATCTGGGTTCAAATCTCACCTCC